CCAAAACAGAATAAAACAATAACTTTAAAATGCTTCTTAAGATACCTTGTCATCCATGTATGGTGTAGTGCCAAATTAAAGTCATTGTCTGTACCTACCTGCCAAAACAAATATTTAGTTTTTTTGTGTTTTAAGATCATCTACACTCTGAAGCAGGGAAGAACTGCAGCTCTGTTCCCTTTCTGTGCTAATCCCCAGAGAAGAAAAGTAACATATATATTTCAAGGGTCAAACAGAAGAAGTTTTAGTTTTTGAAAGATGCTTCTATTTTTTGGGGCAATGTTTCGGTTTACATGTAATCCGTTAATGGCTTGTGCTCTCAAAAAGAATTAAAAAGTACTTTCAAATCACCCTTAACAAGCTTTTGCAAGATGAACTGCTTTCTAAATCAGCTTGCTCAACTATACTTTCAACCTGCAGACAAAAAATGGCACGGTAATTTCAGGTTATCCTCCACAAAGGTATGTGCAACCCGTTCCTAAAGCAGACACCTCAGACAGTGGAGTTGCTAGCCACAAAGACAGATTCCAGTTCAGGTAACTGGAGTAAAACTAACTAAATTCCCTCCCTTTTTAAAAAAAAAAAAAATTTTTTTTTTTTCTTCATTTAGATGGTTTTCACTTCTCAGGTGTTTTGTCTTTTTTTTTTTTTTCCTGTAATGGCTTTTTTTTTTTTCCCCTCTCCCCAAAAGCACTGCAATTACAATTTCTCTCCAAAGACAGCAACATCACAGGAACTAGTGAAGTGATAACCACCTTGCAGTCTTCATGTATTCCCCTGAGTATCCTAACTGTTCAAACTGTTCGTATAGGAATATACTGGTCACAGCAGACAGTTCAGATGCCATCCTGATAAAAAGCAACAGAAATTCCTTGTGTGAAGCTGAACATCCATTCATATCTTATATCTTGACTAGTTAAGGAAACAAAGTTTGTCTCTGTACACACATACAAGGGAAGCAGTATGGAGAAATACTTGAATGCCTGAGAATCAGAGCACAAGTGCTAGGGAAAGGTCTCCCCTCCCAAAGACATTCCATCTGAGAGCTCCACAAGTCAGCAAAATAGTGGAAAAATATGAAATTGTGCCATTTTCACAGCTTTAAGGTTTTGCACATTCAAATCTTAAATCCTACAATTCAAAGAGACCAGAGCCTCCCGACTAGAAACCAAACACAGAATGGAAAACATAAGCAACTTCAACACACTTTTGTCTCTCCATTTCCAGTAACTTGCTGTACTTTTTGTTTGGTAACAGTACTTGTGCTTACTTGGTTTAAGCAAAACCATGAATAAAAGAGCACATTCTGCTTCCAAACAGTATTTGTCATCTACAAAATGATAATCCACCTGAATGAAACACTATCATTACCAATTTTCCAACCTAAATGCACAAGGAAGATTTAAGGCTCCAGCCTGTAGATCCAGTACTATGAAAATCTGGAAGTGGTAGAAAGAGATGTTGCAACTGCTGGAACACTCCACTGGTAAGAATGAAACAAAACAGTTTCACCATGAAGAAGAAAGCGATTATCTTGAACAGAAATCAGAGGAATTACTCTGTGTTCCTTCAGCTGGTTGAAGGATTCTGACTTGTACCTGTAGGAACGGATGAGGGGGAGAAGAGAAAACAACTTTGACTGAAGTTTTATGAGAGAATAAAGATGATTGCCCTAGAGACTCAAAGTAGAAAGAGAACTGTTCCATTCATGTTTTAAATTCTAGGAAATTTGTGTTCTTTCTCTCCTCATTTCTACTACGATAAGAAAACTAAGTATAATCAATCTTACACCACCACGTTGTAAGAACTTGAATTTCTTTTACACTGCAAACATGCAGATCTCAACTGAGATGGCCACCTCTGCTCCTCAAATACACTGTCCCATAGTATGCAGGTTGTCCTGGTGCACTTTGATCCCAAATTGTCTGTGGACTTCAAGTTCAATATTGAGACCTCATTTCCCAGAAGTAATCTGGGAAACATTACATAACAAAGAGAGGCGTCACAAAAGGAACCATGTACCCATCGGCATTTGGCTTCCTGAGGATGCAGAGCATGCGAATGTTCCACAGGCAAGAAAACTCTCAGTACTGCTTCCCCTTTCCAGTCCACGTATGCTGAGTTACAACACTCCAAGAGAGTTCCTGGGTTTCATTTCAGCCAACTCACAGTTAGCCAGTTGCAATGCTGGTAGGGACATTAGGAACTTCATAGCAAAAAGTACAATTTGTCTCTAACCCAGATCAATCACGTTTTCTTCAAGTCCTGAGGTATGTCCAATATTGTGTGGGTTTCCAAAATTTTGTGGCAGCAATATTAATAATAAAATGGCACAACTTACTAAGGGAAATTGTGTCCAAAGGGCATGAAACTATTCACTGTGACATCGTTTAACAAGCAATCCTACAGTAAAACACAAGGTGACTGAAAATGACTACTAAGCTCTATTCACATAGCAGCAGCATGTCTTAGGTTGCACATTCCCTTGCAAAAAGTGTATGTACTTCTACCATGAGATAGGTTGTTTCAATATTCTTAAAAAAGCAGACAGCAGAAGTGCCACAAGAAATCGCAATTCACAGAAAATACTGTTCTAACAGTCAACTTTGATGATGATTTTTTCAGAGTTGTATTTTTAAATGCGACACACTGCACAGAAACAGTCCACCTGAAGGTTAGCACAGCTCACGCATGGTCAAAGATGGATCATTATCCGAGAGTGCTGGATGCATATTTTCCTATTTAGCCATCAATGAAAGTGGGTATTCTTTCTGATCAGCGCTGTGGAAGTTCTACTGCCAATATCAGCAAGCAGATAATGAGTAAGAACTAAATCAGGATCAAGACTTACTGGATTCTGTAGTGAAGGATTTTCCAGATAAAAGCAAAATTACTAATCACCAACCTCTGACTATGAGCCAAGCATGGGACTACCCAGCTATTCTCACTCTGTCAGCAGCAATGATGAATTTTCCTTTTTGCTCAATTTCTTCATTCACTGAAGGACTAGAGTATGCAGAATCTGTTACAGGTTGTAGTTCTGGCATAAGTTATTATCTTTGAGAGCCACTTTCCATCAAGCAGATGAAGACTGACCTGCTAAACATTCAAACCAACTGGAAAAAAATGGCAAAGATTATAGAATTATATTTCTGTACTCCAAAAATTGAGAAGGTCTGAACTTCAGGGAACCAGGAAAACAGCAATAAAAAACCCCAAGCCCTTCAGCCTGTTCTGATCAAATAGTCTGCAACACTACGTTTTCATAACTGAAATTTTGCTCTAAACTTGGAGACTGGTCCATTTTTCTCTTTGTTCTCATCAGAGTAAAGTGTAACTTTATGTGTATTCTCTATTCACCTCTCTCTAATTCTACATGCACCACAGAATAAACAGTTGACCCCTCTGGGTGTTACCTGCTAAAATAATTTTCAAAATTGTTAAAAACAGTAAATGGTATGATCAGTTCTGTCACATGCTATCCAGTTGCATGCTCCAGAAACATTACTTAGCCTGGAAAGGAAAATGTTAGAAAACGATCTAGTTCAGGTGTATTACCAAAAACACAGACAAAACCATTATCAGTTCTTAAAAGTCAAGAAACGGCATCAACTCACAACAATGGTGTCACAAGAACTCCAGTTTTGTTATGGACAACTGAAATCCACTTTACACGTACCTGAGAGAGCAACTTCTCCAAAGCGAAGCTTGCCTTATTTCCACAGCAATACACAATATTGATTTCTTGTTAACTACTAGTTTCCCTTTGTCAACAATTCTCGGTCAAAATTAAGAGAGTACTTGGCAACATTTAAACAAATATATATGCTACATAATAGTATGTGTACGCAGAAAATGCATATTTATTACCTTCCCATTTTAAAAACGCTGCACTCGGGGAGCTTGATTTTCTCATATTAAACACACTCAGGACATAACACGAGTTCAGCTATTCCCCTGGTTTACCAAAGAGCTTTCAATCATGCACCACAGACAAGGCTGCGAAACATCCAATAAACCAAAACATCAGAAAGGCAAACAAAACCATCTATTAGCACCATGGCTCTCCTTTAACAGCATGAACTACCACCACATCTGAACTCGTTGATTTACCAACCTAGACGCAAACCACAAGGTAATCACTCAGCAGAGCAACAAAGAATAGTAGAGAAGGAAATTCAGGACTTCATTTTCTTCCCTCAGAAAGATCAGGAGGAAAAATTCATTTCACCAGTAAAACAGCAATTATTTTTGTATTTAAACAACTTGCCTGCTTACAACCTTGTTAACACAAGGCATTTGCTTCAAAACCTGAGAGGACAAAAGAAAGTTTTCATCAGCAAACCCAATGCTGTGCAGAAGCGACATACCAGCATCTATGAAGAATTTGTACCATTTTTAATAGTGTGGACTGCTACTTGTTTACATTTTTTAGCAAGCTAAACACATCTACTAAAGGAACAGAAGGGTATAACTTCTGGAGTCTGTTGCTTCTTTTAATGATGTTTCTCTACGAGACAGTAAACTTATGAATGGAGTGAAATACCCTGGTAGGGATCAGTGTTGACTAAAAGACATAGTAAGACCAAACTGAATTTTCTAGGCTGTCCTCCAGAGAACTCCATAGAACCTATTTTCGAGTTGAGAATTAAAGCAATGTTTTTCATATATTACTACCTTGAGTATTTCAGAGCCACTCGACAGAATTTATACTCACGCAGTAATGGCAATTTGACATAATT